TGTTGTTAAAATTGCCCAGGCTACGTCCACACGAATCAGGATACTTTTGAAAACGCATTTTCAGACGAAAAAGCCCTTAATTCACACGAAACCAGTCAATCTGCACCTAATTCGGGTAATTGTTGTTTCAAAAACATACGGATTCGTTTTGAAGGGGCATCATTCGACGGTTTTTTTGCTGCCTGGAGCGTGTAATACCCCCCTAATCAGCTATATAGCGCTCCCGCCTCGACAGCCTCACTTCTTCGCCCACCTGACTCTTTGGCAGTAACGGATAGTAAGCCCCTGAGAAAGGGCTCAAATAGCCCTTTAATTTTAAGTTTCTTTTTATGCGCGCTTAGTTGTTTTTGTGTGTATGTGTTCCATTTATCAAACTTTATATAGAGAACTCAGTAACATAATATTTTACGTCCACCTAACAATTACGATTCATTTCTATTCAGACCATGGAGAACTCGAGGCAAGCGGAAAACAGGGGGAGAGAAATTGTGGTGAGGCATACTTATAAGAATATTTATTTATTGTGCATTTAATATTTCTATAAGAAATTATTCTTTGTTATCTTTTATATATTTATTTAGTTTGATTTTCCAAATCCAAATTATTTAACATACTGTAATGACCAGCCTGTTAAATTCAGTTACTCAAAAGACTACTTTTTCAGCACGTTTAGTTTGATGTCGTTGTTGTTGTTGTATAAGTGCGAATCTCACTAGTGGAACCCAACAAGTATATTTACACGAATTGTGATTGGATAACGTGCTCACGTTTTATATGCGTGACAAATAGTGAGTAGCGAACCGCAGTTTTGTACAAAAAACGTCTTTTACTTGGCGTTTACGGAACAAAATTCGTCAGATAATAGAAAACTGAATGACGTAATATTCTACGTCCACCTAACAATTAAGTACATTTTTATTCAGACATATTGAAAGTCAAGTCGAGCGATTTGTGAAATTCAAGTCAAGCATTCATGGTTTTTCGTCATTAATGTTGCAATGTGTGTGCGAATCTGACCGATGGAACCCAACATGCACGTATTCTGATTGACCTACGTAGTCAGTTTTTATATGCGTGACTGGGATAGTAAGTAGCAAGCCAGAGTTTTGGACAGAACGTCTTTCACAAATAGTTGGTCGATTGGCGTTGTTTCTGAGGAATTAATAGAAGAAGAAAGTTCTCATGACTTCCAACTTACGGGTATATTTTGACTGACACAAAGACGTAATTTAGCGTCATTAGGACGTAATTTAGTTGAATTTATTGGTAGAATCCAAATTTTCTTCAAAGCCGTAAACATTCAGCGAAAAATATTTGAATAGTAAGGTGTTTGAAAAAATCAAGATGTTGGCTAACATATAAATAACTAGTAGTTACTGTTAGCCAACTTGTATGCACCGTTTAGGGTATTGTTTGTAAGCTGCTGTTTGTTACTAAAAACAAAACAAAAAGCATATTAATAGCCTTTAACAATGGCATTAATGTCATTATTTATTGCTAAAAAATGAAGTGGAAGCATTTGCCGTTTTGAATCCTCCATTTTGAATTATTTATAGGTGTTCCATTTTACTTAAAACCCGTATAAATCGAGGGATTTTTAATAGAAAACTTGATCTGAGTATAAAACGATGCTTAGGAAGCAAACAAATCTGCAGAACATGCCATTCCAAGAAAAAAATGAGCGCTGAACATCTGCCATTTGATATTAAGTCCTATGTTTTCTCAAACTAGTGACCAAAAAGCCTGATTTTCATCAACAGTGACAATAACTTTATATTGATAAAATAATGCTAATTTAAGTGTAATATAATAATAGGAAAAATAGAATTAAAAGCTAATTTTGAGAAACAAATGCAAATTTTGAAATTCGTAGCTCCAGAAATTTGGTTGCCATGGTAACATCAAAGTTGAAGCACACGTCACGACGACTTTAAAATGTTCCCAGATATTTTTATGAAAAGTCGCTAAGTTTGGTGGTCAAAGCTTGATCGGTTTTTAAGTTCATCAACTTTTTCGCGATGGGGGCTCCAAAAGCCTGATAGATTAAATGAAAAGAAGTACAGATAAAGTGGTCTATTAGTTTGACGGCCCTTCGGTGAATTCCTGTTGTGCAAAGAAAAAGTATTTGAACCTGATGATATCAGCAGTCTGACACTGTAAGTTATTACATTCAGTCAGACTTTAAGAGAGCCTTTCTCTGGAAAGCACGGCATTTATTTATTTTCTCCTTAATTAGGTAAAATAACCTTCAGAACCGGAAACAGGCATAAATCATCTCACCTGGTATTTGAGGAGGCACACAAGGATTTTTATTACGGGCTTGATATTGACTCCCAAGACAATTTATAAGTGAAGGTTAGACGCAATTCATTTTAAAAGATCGAATTCTTCGAAAGCACATCTGCTCTTTTAAAATTAGAAAAATATAGTACGCTAACTGATATATTAAGTAATTAGAGTTACTGTCCTTCAGCACAGGGTAGGTAATAAGATGTTTTAAAAGAGAATATACCAACACACTCAACGACGAATTTTCACCTGCCTCTAAAAAGCTGTCTCTAATCAACTTAATAACTAAGAATTCAACTTCAGGTAAATTCATTTACATCTGATAAATTAAACAAGTTGGAATAATCGTCACAATCGCAACAATAGAATGCGAAATCGCATTATTCATAACATTACCAATGCAGTCACCGGGTTCTGCACGGGTAGTTGGAAACTATTCACTGATTATAAAATGCTTATTATTTCAGAATTGAAAATTACTCAAATTTAAATTGGATGTTTTTTCTCAACACAATTAGCAGGAGCACGAGCCCTCAAATCCCTTTTAGAATTTCTTGAAGATACCCCATTTAAACAGTGAGCCTTTAATGTATCTGATTGCATTGAAGCCATCTTGAACGGTAGAAAGAATCCAATCCATTTTCAATGCATTCACTGCGGCGACTTATGGAGCTATCAAAGTTGGAAACTCTTCACTAATTATTAAATGCTATTTTAGAATTCTACAATACTCAATTTTCAATTGGGTGTTTTTTCTCAACAGTGTTGGAAGAAGGACGCAGACCCTTCAAATCAGGCTTCTCTACAATTTCAATGCGAACAAGTGAAGGGTGGGCCTTTCATCAATCTGATCGCGTTGAAGAAATCTTGGAAAGAGAAATCCGATTCATTATTCCTTGCTTCAAGTAGCGATGGGACGTTGTCACTGAGACCATATCACCACTTCGATGAGCCTCACCCGGATGAGTTCTTTCTTAAAACAAATGTCTAGATAGAACATTAAGCATAAAATAGAGAATAAAAGTTAAAGATGACTTCATTATTCATTATATATCTGTCTGGATTTGCAAAAAGGTGCCTCCAGGATTTTGTAGCAACAGTCTCATTTGATGCTTGTTCAGTAGTTGACCATTTAGTACGAAAAAACCCTGACAAGCTGCAGTAGGACAGAAAAAAAAACAGGTGTTTATAACGCTGTTTACAACTTTTCCCATCCCCCTCCCCCTCTTCCCTACCTATCATTTCCCATCATTCTCTCCATGTCATAAAACACTATTACATTTGAAATCAGCGAGTGCGGTAGAAGTTGTTTTCCGTGGAGGGGTAATTTTCTAGGTTTCTTTCTGGCCACCTGCAGCAGAGTTTTCCGGAAGGCATCATTAAGCCTTATGAAGGAACAAGTCTCACGATTGGCCGTATGTTCATATTTCGTCTCATTTTGGCTAAACGGGTGAAACAGTGATCTCGGGCTTGAGACGGAAAGGCATTATATTGCGAGCGTCGATCGATGTGGGCGGTGACAAGTATCTGGCCTCAAAAAGGAGTTTTTAGGAGTCAAATCTATTCAGCGAGAGCAAAATTGATGCATATTTCTGACCAGGCCAGAGACTTAGTTAAAAATTGTTTTGAAGGCCGGCCTCTATGTGTCCCTTTCAGAACGGCTCGTCTATATCCGGGATCTTGAATAAATCGACTGAGTAAGGAAAATTTACATGTGATGATTTACACAGGACGAAATAACGTGTTTCCGTTTTTTGTAAACTCGACTGAAACGTGAAGTTGCTTAAATCCGTCTCGTTTCCGCCCTGCGGAAACATGGTGATCTAGTTTTCCATGGACGGGACGCGTTTCCGTTATGTTTCCGAGTCGGAAACGAGCGATCTTGTTTCCGCCACATTTCTGTTAGCACATTTCCGTTCTTTCTTGTTTCCATTACGTTTCCGGTGACCCATGTCCAAGATCGCATGATAAATGTTTCAGAAATTTTGGCTTTGCGTACAATAAAGGTGAATAAAGGTAAATTTACTCTCGAGATCGGGCCATTAAATGGTCAGGCTCATGCATTAAATACTCGCGCGCGTTGCATTGATGCAACTTCTGTGAAGTGCGCGAGGTTGCCACTGTTTTCGATTCTAAATGATTAAAATGGCAGAGCATACCAACAGCTGTCGATAGTTGCCAGATTGATCTCAATCAGTATTGGCATAAAAATAAAATGATCTTCGACATCTTAGGCTGAGAAAACAAGACAGAATGGGGAGAATGGGGCCTAGAACAGAGCGGAGTGCTGGTCAGCGGACGTTTCTTTTGCTCATGCTCATGCTAATTGCGGTCATTCTTTTTGGCGTCCATTTTGAAAGTGATTGCAACGGCTTCAAATTCGCCAGCTTCGGTAGGTTCTAGGAGCGTGGAGTCTGTATATTTTTGCATCGGATTAAATGAAGTGTGTGTACGGGTGGGTGGGCTGGCGTACGCTACGTCATAACCAAATTTTCTCGGATGGATGGTTTACCAAATTTTCTTACCCGTGGTGCTCCGCTGGCGCGCTTCGCACGCGAGAGCTCCGCTAGGAATTGAATTTACCATTATTTTATAATGCAAGAGTAACTTGACATCCGAAAAAGTTACCTTTATTTGATGCTTACTACTTACATATATAACGAAAAAGAAAAAGGCAAAAAACGAATAGAAATTTACGCACTTTACATTATTTATTTTCCACCCTTGTTCTTTTTGCCCGCTTTCTTGGCTTTGTTGCGCATAAGCCTCCTAAACTGGTATCCTCGCCAAACTGCTTGTATGGCTGCAGCAGCTTTGTTTTGCTTTCTTTCTTCTTCCAACTTTCTCGCTTTGGCTTCTTCTAAGCGTCTTCTTTCCTCTATGATCGCATTATATTTCCTCTCTAAAATGTCAAAGCGAGCTTGCAGCTGCGATAGTTCAGCTTTATCGGCGTCGTACATTCGTGTATATAGATCGTATTCGTCCTGAGAAGTCAATAAATACACCTCATTCTTCACAATCCTTACTCAAATAAAAAATCTGCAATATGTTAAAAAAACCCACACACTGTTCTTTAAGAACAGAGGACTGTGAGTCTATGTGTGTGTAGTGCTATTGCATAGCAGCTCCACATCAAATTAACGCCGACACGTTATATAACCTGCTTTATCAAAAGAAATGATAATGAGGATGATGATGACGATCATGATGATGGTGGTGGTGGTGGTGGTGGTAAAGGCGACGATGTTGATGATAATGATGGTGTTGATGATGAAACCAAAACCGTGACCATGACGATGGCGATGGCGATGATGATGATGATGTACTTGGTACATAATGTGGCCTGGAGTTGCGAGATATTTAGTAGCTAATGCTAACAATAAGTATAGTGCTCGCTCAACTAGTAAAATGAAGGCACTGTCAAGACGGAGGTATATATTCACAGACAAATTGTATTTCTATCTTCATCCTTATATAACTTCCATGTCTGTGATCACTAAATTGCGAACCAGTGAGTAGGTTCACTTTTTTGGCGGAAAAGGCTTTGAAAAGGATCCCATTCTCCTCCTCGGTTGGCTAAAACCTATTTACTAATCAAAAATTATTTGCTCTTGTCACTGACCTGTCTGGTATCTAGGTCTGCATCATACTTCTGTACCCAGTTATACACCTCGGTAGCCATCTTAAATGTTCGCTGGTGGTCAAAGACGATAACAAACAATAACCATTGGCGTTTCCGCGAGATTAAGTAGTCTCTTTTTATTATTATTTTTAAACATCTATTCTATAATCCTTTTATACCCATAGCCATAGCCAATTTATGATTGCTGGAGAAAAAATGGAGATCTTGACCCTGAAATGTATACCGCCTCTAGCTATACAGGTACGTGCGGCGCCAAAGGGTATGGGTTTCGGTTTTTAAAATTTAAAAAAAAATAAATAAATATTTTGAGAAAAAAAGAAAAGATTACCATTAATATTAAATGAAAATCCCACCAATTGAAACCAAGAAAAAAAAATGTCCATGGACATTGACCGTGCAAGGGACCGACGAACGACCGTCAGACTCGGAGGATGTTTATATCCACCTCAGCCTTCAGCCTCGGAGGATAACATCCTCCTCGATATGCATAATATTATTCTTCACATCCTACATAGCCTCATGATTGCTATTATCAAACCTTTCTAAGGTAGGTTTCATTCTCTCGATGACTTTTCCTGTCTTCTTGAATCTTTTTTCTACAGGCAAAGATGTCTTCATAAAACCTGGCCTCTCTAGCGTTTGAGGCCTTGTTATCATGGCATGTTTGTTTGAGAGCTTCTGTCAAGGTTCTCGTCTGTTGCTCAGTGTTTATTTTTTCGATGAGTTGTAATTCGCTCTGCAGTTGAATGGTTATGGCATCTCTCTTTGCGATCTAGAAACATGTTAAGCTAAATTATTAACAAAAAAATATTATATATATACGCGAGCAGTCGAAAAAACCAGTTGATGAGTGGAAAGAAGATTGACTCGTCAAGAATTTTGTATTGCGGCGACTTCAAAGGCTTGACCCCAATCAGGAAGAGCATCCTTTTCTCCTCCTCGCTCAAGAAGACAGAAGGAAGCTCTGCTCACAGGAAGTGTTTATTTTAAATTGCTTTTTTCAATTCTGTGGAAAATCCATACTGATTTCTACACATTTCCTTAGGAGAATTTGTTTTCGTTAGGTGATCATTTTACTAATTCTCATAACCCATTCTCTTGATTGTGTATTGGTATTGTTAGGAGAATTTTGATGTTGGTCACTTTAGGAACTTGACAAGTTTAACTTCAGCCCAGTTGTTAGAAGGCCGATTAGCGCTTAACTCACGGTTAAAATTAAAATAAAACGCGGGTTTCTTTTTCTTGTGTTCAAAAGCATTTTATTGGATAATTTTCTCTGTTATTTTTAAAGGCATCCAATCAACAACTTGCTGACAGAAAGAATTAAATTGAGTTTATTTTTTAAGCTTTCAAATAGGACTTCAAATTTCGCACTAACCCTGGGTTATCTTAACCCAGCTTTGAACAACTCGTCCCAGATTTTATGAAATCGACAGAAAAATGGATACCTCTACATCTTTGCCCTTAACGGCTGCATTGTATTTTAGCTCGAGTTTTTCCCGAATGGCATTTGTTTTCTTTTCCCTCTTGATAACATCTGCCAAATACTCTTTCTTCGCTTCTTGCTCAAAGGGTGACGTCAGTAGCCTCTCTCTCATGATATTATCCAGTGAAGTAAGCGTTTCCATTAAAAGCACATGTTCCTTGACACGGACAGGTTTAATACCTTCGAAGAAAATAATATGAGCTGAGTGCGTACTAGAGGTACAGATCACTTTGCTTTTAAGAGAGAGTTAGCACATTCCCTAATTCTCTTAAATGAAATCAAAACAATGTTCTCCCAACTTACAAAGCGATCGTCAAAGGTTTTGACAGCGGATTTGGGTACTGATCATGCGCATTACGTCAAAAAAAAGGATCAATGGATTTGAGAAGGAAAATTCATGGCTGTCGAAGGCGGGATTGTTTTGGGTAATTCGCAAATTCATTGATTTGATGTCGCTTCTCAGACATAGTACGTAGTTTCCTTTTTCTTTTAAACAGTTTTCCTTTACAGAGATTGGAATGTAGCATTAGCTGCGTATAGCTGATAAGAAGAGCTGAGTTTTTATTAGGATCGTTTTAAATTTTAAATTTGAATTCAAGGTCAGTTGACTGATCGTAATAAAAAAAAATTAAATGTTATAAAGTGTAAATCTGTTTAATCAAGTATGTTAATTGAATGTAGGCTCATATTTATAAAGCTTCTTAAATAGACTTACTTCCGATGAATTTAACACTTTCTCCACATTTTTACCAGCATCATAACTTCTATAATCTTCTGATGTCCTTGCCCGGCGAAAACGATGTAACCTATATAAACTCGATCGATAGTACAGCGCGCGTTTTTGTCGGTTAAGAATTTACACGGTTGCCTTGAATGTCGTTTGCGTTTGGTTACCCTCGCTATTTCAGTACCAAAGGACAAATATGTTATGCGAGAAAAACAAAGAGATATGACATATGTTTCTAAAAATATATTGACTTATTTCCTCTGCCGGCTTCTCGCTTCAAATATGTACTTTGGGCAAAAACATTGCAATCATCCGCTGACCAACACGCAGGGTGACCGATTTGCGCGGAGATCTGAAAGCGAGCTTCATTGATGGCAGAGTAGTAGATAAAGCACTGGAGGTCGCGTTCAGTCTCGCGTTATCATTTGCCCTCGCGTTGTCATTTCTTATTGGACACCTTAACATTTCAGGACGAGAACGACTGAGATGATGAGATTTAACTTAAGGTTTTTTTGCGTCGTCTCAAAAACAAGAAACCCCGAAAAGCTTATCAAGTTTTCCCGCCAAAATGACGCTGGTTCACGCGCGCTCGTGGTTTAGTATTGAGAAAATCTCGCAAATCGTAATTGTCCCCGTCTTAGAATCTAAAGGCCTCTAATACCAGACCACTTCGAACAAGTTACTTAATTCTACTTGGGTCCCACTAAGTAACGGCCGATCGCCTACTGGAACTGACCCTAGAACATAGAGAATGTGTTAACCGTCACATAGGTGACTCAGAATAGACTTCAAGCAAGCGACACTTCGTTTTTTTTAATTTAACTTAACTTTAACTTTATTATTCCATCTCTCATATAGTACAAACTCAGTAAAGCCAAAGCCGGGGGCTTATACGGCCTGTGGTCAGAATGACAGAAATTATTTTATATAGAAATGAAGACTGTAGGCTAAACTACAAAACTAAAACAAGATACTGAACTGAAATTAAATAAGTTTACATGCATGCAGTCCTATAACAGTCCTACAACAATTAAACTAACAATAAGCTATAAGCATCCTGCGCTAGTTCAATTTAGGCTTAAAAAGTGAAGTTTTAGCTTCTTTTTGAAGTTACTAGTGGTAAGGTTGTCACGAACAGTCAAGGGAATATGGTTCCAAATAGTCGGGGCTTGAGAACTAATCGCAAATTGATACCTGAGGGACATTTTATGCAAGTTGAACCGAGAACGAGTTAGATAATCATGAAAATCACGATTAAAGTGGAGGAGGGAGGAAAGAGAGGCAGGTAAAAGGTGATTAAAGTGTGAGAATACAAAACAAGAAATATGAAATTTATAAAGTGAATGGAGAGAAAGAATATTAAGCTTCGAGAAAAGAGGCTTAGAACGAGTTCGTGGAGGAGAAAAGGTGATAATTCGAATGGCTGTCTTTTGGAGTAGATAGAGGGGTTCAAGGTAGAAGGGATATGTAGATGCCCAGATGAGGTTACAATAGTTGATATAAGGTAGAAAGAGGGAATTATATAAGGTTTTTAGAGTGACCGAAGGTAAGTATCGTCTCGATTTAGACAAAATTCCTATAACCTTAGCGACTTTATCGCAGATGGAGGTGATGTGCGGTTTCCATGAAAGGTTTTCGTGAATAATCATTCCAAGAAATTTATGTTCCTGTACCCGTATTATTAAGATGTTTATCAATTCTGAAGGATTGATCTGTTTACGTCGTGGATGGAAGATGATGAATTTGGATTTATCAGGATGAACAGTAAGCTTGTTTGCGTTAAACCAGTAGGAAACATGAGAAAGCTCTTGATTAACCATTCTAGTTAAAGTAGCCAAGTCTTTATGACGAAGAAAAATATTGGTGTCATCAGCAAAAACAATAAATGAAAGATAATTTGAAGAAAGAAAAAGATCATTAATGTATAGGAGGAATAATAAGGGGCCAAGAACAGAATCCTCAGAGACCCCACACACAACAGTATTATTAGAAGAAACATGACCATTGACCATAACATACTGTTGTCGGTTGTCTAAATAGCTGGTGAGCCAAGCTAGAGGAATACCACGGATACCATAAAAGTTTAATTTGTCAATAAGAATCTGATGATTTACAGTATCAAATACCTTCTTGAGGTCTAAGAAAATTCCAATAGTGCATTCATTACTTTCAAAGCCTTCATATATATTGTTTACAAATTCGAGGATAGCCATAGTTGTAGAATCATATGGTCTGAAGCCATATTGATGGTGACTAAGAATGTTAAATTTTTCAAGAAATGCAGACAATCTGAAATAAAAGAGTTTTTCAGAGACCTTGGAAAGACAGGGGAGAATAGAAATAGGCCTATAGTTAGAGAACAAGGAAGAGTCATCACATTTGAAAATGAGAAGGATCTTGGCTGTTTTAAGCTTATCTGGAAAAACACCTTAAGAAAATGACAGATTACAGATATGGGTCAAAGGGGCAGCTATTAAATCAATAGTATCTTTTATAGGGGAAATACAGAGGCCATAAAAACCCTCACATTTACTATTTTTTAGAGAATGGACTATATTAGCAACCTCAGTGGGAGAAGTTGGGTTAAGATAGAAACAGTTTGCGTAATGACCAATCAGAAACTTTCTATACGTAATTTGAGTGGGAGAGATTTTATTTGCCAAAGAAGGACCAACATTAGCAAAGAAATTATTAAACTTTGTAGCTATCTGAGTAGGATTTGAGTATGAACCAGAACTATCTTTCATGTTATTGAAACGTTGCTCAGGTTCCTTTTTGGAGATAATCTGTTTTATGACTGACCATGTCTTTCTTAAATCTGAACTGACAGAGAGCAGTTTGTCATGGAATAATTTTTTCCTGGCAAGTTTGATGAGAAAATTGTATTTATTACGGTATTTGTTGTATCTCAACTTGTTGAGTGCAGTTGGGTTTAACTGGAACTGTTTGTAAAGAGAATTTTTCCTTTACAAGAAGTAAAGAGACCATTTGAGAACCAGGGTTTTGAAGAGCGGTGAGGTTTAGAACATGCAGGTTGAAGAGGAAATGACATACTGTATGCCGAAGTAAGAAGACTAGAGAATGTGTCATAAGATTCATTTACAGAATTAATAGAAAAGACTGAAGACCAGTCGACACCTTCCAGTTTAGACCTGAATGCTGACATAGTTGTTGAGTTAATAAGACGTACAAATCTCTTTTGGCCATGTGGCTCAACAATCATTTTCAAGAGGGTAACTTGAAAGACTGGGAGGTGATCAGATAAGTCAGTGTAAAGAATGCCACTATTCATATTAAGTTCAAGATTGTTTGTAAATATGTTGTCAATCAGAGTTGCAGTTGAGGGAGTTATGCGAGTTGGTTTGGAGATCAAAGGATAGAGGCTATTAGATGTCATAAGATTAATGAACTCATTTGTTGGTTGATGAGAATGAGAGTTGAGGATGTTGATATTAAAATCACCCATTATATAAGATAGCTTATTCTCAAAACTGATGGTTGACAAGATATCTTCAACAGACCTGTTAAAGTCATTAAGAGAGGCATCGGGAGGTCTATAGAGGCAGCCAACAATAATATTTTTACCATGAGGTCGCATGATTTCCACAAAGACTGATTCCGTACAATGAATTGTCAGAAGATTGAAGATCAATCCTAGGCTTAAAATTCATATCAGACTGAATGTAAAGACCAACTCCACCACTAATTTATGTTCTCTTGAATTGGAGATAAAATGGTAGCCAGGAATATTAAAGAGATCAGAATTAGACTTATATAATCAGGTTTCAGAAACGGCAACAACAGAGAACAACATATTAAGTGAAAGAAGATATTCCGACAGGTCATAAAAGTGTTTAGGGAGGCTCCGGATATTAATATGGAAAGCAGAAAATGCATCAGGAGGAAAAGGAATTTTGTTAAATTCTGAAGAGGTTAGATATATGCAGTTTGAAAGTCATTCTGAATTTGTGGTAAAAAAATTGGGGTTAGGATCAAGGAGTTTAGAGTTCATTAGCAGATGAGATTTCTCAGGGTCATCAAAAAAGGGATTAAACACTTTTTCCTTAAGAAGTTCAGGATCCAAATCACCGGATGTTAGTATGACGAGTATACTGTTCTAAGTCATCTAGTTGATCGCGTAGCATGGCATTCGCTTCCTCCAGACCGGCGATTGTTTCTTGCGAAGATTTCGTAGTTTCCGGTAAATTCCCAACCTCGAACTGTAGGGTTTCAGGTAGCGACTTTTTAAACTGAGTAGAAGACACGCATTCATCAACAGCGGAGCGAGCATAAGACATAATGAGATCCTTTGTAAGCTGAGGAAGAGTACTGGAAATCCAATCATTCAGTTTAGTCTCAAAATGGGACCCGGCAAATCTGGTTCATCGCTGACTCAGGAATCAGGTCTTGAGAAGCCGCTTGTTGGTCGTGAGAGGCAGCTCTGGTCTTTCCCATGATGAAGAAGATAAGTAAATCGTTTGGGTAAAAGAAAAGAGACTAAAATGTCCTAAGCCTCTCTACATAATCGTCAAAAAGTTGAGAATTGGAGAAGCATCAAAAACCACACGTTCATCTTGTTCGATAACCGCTATGTGTTTAAACATGATGGCGAAACTTTTTCCTATTCATTTAGAAATTTGATAATACTACCAAGGTATCCTTTTCCCCTTCCAACCATAAAATGATATGCATTCCAGAACACCTTGAGTCTTTAAGATAAACTTTAGAGACTTACACGGATATTACACTTTTTATTATATAGACACGAGTATTTTACTGGAAAATATGCCACTCGTAAAATTCATAAAAACTACATCCGGGACCCGAAGGGTTTATTTTCCATAATCTCACAAGTGAGTTTATCGATAACGTAATTTCGGTAATTTTCCTTCGAAATTTGTAGACGTCTTGCGTCTTTTGAATTTTACTTACACGTTTTTCAAAGTTTTGCTTATATTTTGTCATTGTAGAGCCTTATTCAGCTCAATGTTATTTCTCAAGATTATTGTAACCAATGTTTTATATTGCTGTACTGTAAATCTGAGCCGTCACAATTACTTTTTGGCGAATAAAAATCTATTATTTTATCGATGTCTTTTTGTCTATATAATAAAAAGAACATTACACGGCGGCTTGAAGATATGAATTTTATTTTCTCGTGTCAAAAACAATATTTTACTCACTCGCAGCGCTCGTTCGTAAAATATTGTTTTGCCACTCGAAAATAAAATTCATATCTTCGCGCCACCGTGTAATATCCTCTATAAATACCTATTTAGCCAACATTCCTAACCCGAGACGTAATTGGGATAAAAGAACAAGAACGCATGATAGGTGTAGCTCTCCAGAAACCTAGCCAACGTAAAAGTGGCATGCGCAACATCAAGAAGTTGTTAGTTGTATAAAGTATTTTTGGTTTGTAATCGTCTTATTGACGGGAGTTTCCTCTATAAAGATTAATATTAGTAGTAGTATTGTATACGCGCTAAACACGGTTGTTACATTTCGCTATATGCCGCATTTTGCGTTTATTGTGATATTAAACAGAAAAATGAGCGAAAATTGATTGAAATGATTTTTTTCCGTATTTAAATTTAAATTTAGTCGTTATTTAAGCAGTAACCACCAAAGAAGCAAAAATTTAAAAAATAAAACCACCCTCGCAGAATCACCGAATGTCCAGAAAGGTAAGCCTGTTTCCTTGTGAATACTAAATCTCTCTTCAGTGAATTGTGATTTTAAATTTGCTTTGAACGTAAAACTCACCTAGGATGGCTTCGACCGATTTCGGATTTTTCTTAAAATAACGCAGCATCTCCCTCAAAGAGTCTCTTATTGATTGTGCCAGTATCTCTCCCTGTTTGTCAAGAGATTTCCCTTTTTGTATCTCTTCGGGGAAACCAATTTTGTTTCCCGCGCAGACTTGAAATCCCGATTCATTCGTATCACATGACTTACTCTCCTCAGTGCGTCTGAAAACATCAGACTGTGTTTCCTTTTCTAAAAGCCTGTTTTGCTCACAGATGATTTCCTTGAATGCATTTTGCAATCGCAAGTGCTTTTCCATGTGATTCACCAGCTCTTGTCCCAAAACAACAGAAAAACGAGGCAAGGAATCCAGGACATATGGCAATGCCGTTGTTATCTCCATCCGCTTCACTGCTTCTTGGAAAACGGTCATAATTCGCTCTGCGTGGAGCGATGGCAAGGTTTTTCGTTTAGGGTCAAGGATTTTGCAAGGGTCAAAACCGGGTTTTCGAACGTAAGGCGGCTGAGGTGAGTTTTTGCCGCCTTTAGGCCAAATATCGGAACAGCGCGGACTTTCTATTGGAGCCATTTGTAAATCCGTTTTTTTTACTGTTACTGACGCAACAATAAGTTGTAGTTCGCGACGCATAAATGACGTCACCTTTAGTAAGCGCGTGCGCGCTCACTGTCAATAGGCTAATTTAGCAACAGAACAGGAACGTCAGTTGACGACGGCGCGCGCAAATCAAACAACTGGTTTGACCAATGGCAGAGCGGCAAATTGAGCATCGGAAGTCGTGTTTAGTCCTTTCCGCGCGCTTTCCCGTCGTCAAATGACGTTCCCGTCCTAGTGAGTTTACGCAACAGGACGGCAGGAAGAAGAGGACGGCAGAACGCTCGTGTGTGACAAACGTGACAAGGCTATTTCTTACGTGTTTTGTCGTGATCTTCACTTAACATCAATGTTTACTTGTCTTTTACAAAAAGATCTGTTTAAAGGAAAGTGAATTTTGGCGAAAAGTTGTTTCAAACAAAATTATTGTCACGCTTGTCACACAAGGTTTGCCGTCTTCTTCCCTCTCCCGTCCTGTTGCGTAAGTTCACTAATAAGCCTACAAATGCAGGCTGTTCGTGAGCTGTTCGCTGGTAAGCGTCCACCTAAGAGTAAGATCAATGAATTAATAATATAACTGGAAAGTCTATATCAGAAATTAAGGAAATGCTAACAAAGGGAACATAAGTATTGGAAGGACAACTTAAATAAGAAACCTAAGAAAACATCGATGAAGATGTATACATAAACGCTACGTCAACTGTCAGTATATATATATAAGATCGTTAAAATAACTTACAGAAACTTGCGATATAAGATGATTTAAGGTCGATTCAATAATTTGTGGCATACACTTGTGACCATCCCACTCAGCCTCTTAGAATGTTTTGCTGGAGTAATAACGATGATGATGCTCCTGATGCTGATGTTAATGCTGATGATGAAAAATGACGCAAAACCTCAAACCTCTTTTTATATTCATGCTTCAGACCTTAACATGTTTAATTATGTGGATATTGTTTCATTGTTTTGCTCGTTTCAGTACGTTATCTTCATCACAGTGAAGAAACATTAGAGAATAACTGGATCAACAGTTTTCCTATAACAGTTCCCAAATTTAGTATGTGCTGCACGTGCATCGAAGGAGTTGATTTAACCATGTTGTTCTGTTGTCTACCGCTGTACTGTGACTGAGCAAACACAAACCATAACAAGGTGCAAAAAAATTCAGAGGACTTTTCCTTTTTAACTAATTTTTTTATTACTAACTGTTCTGTAGTTTCGTCAGAGGTCGCCAATGGGTCGTAAAACAATCCATAATAAACAAACACTCTCGTACTACTTCGAGATTTGTCACGGAGGCTTTTCTACAACGTAGATCAATCACGCTACAAGACTATTGAGCAGCATATGAAAGAATTATAGTCCAAAGTTACTACTGGCGATGATGGAATTATCAAATTTACGTTGAAAAATTATTAATAAATCTACTTCAATCATCCCTGATGCTCAGTTCCGCTTAACCCTTCACCTGACCCTAAACTCTAACCTATTTACAGCTGGGCTAACCCAATAAATGGCTTACTGCTCTGATACGCTGACTCTGATCTTGTTACGGGAAGGTCACGCGGGCCACCCACGCTGACGTCACCTGGAGTGTTTACCATTTGTACAGAAATTTTGGTGCAAAATTTTCGTCAAATGGTACTGGTATATTTTTTGGCAACGAAAACAGGAACGGGATTGAGTTGTACCATTTTCAAAGTACCGGTAAATTTTTCGCTTTCTCTCAACATGAAGCCTGGCACTAAGTAATCCAAACAAATGGTACAGAAAATTTCGGTCGTTTCCGCAAAAATGGGAAAAAGGTAATACCTCGAAAGGTATTACTTTTTTTCCGGAAAATTTCCACCGGAATGAACAGTTCCATTTGACTTCTTTTCCCGAAATTTCCGGGTTTTCCATATAAATGGTAAGCGCTCCTGTTGATCGATATCAATGTGCGAACCAGAAGCGCATTGGTTCTGGAAACAAAAGATTCTATGGTTTCATTCGTTACAAATCATCCTCCGCGGAGACCCAGGCACGGTCAGTTGGGTCAGGAAAAACGGCGGAGAAAGTTTTCAAGAACGGGCAGGAGAGGCCCTGGGATACTGCTCTTAACGAACCAGATCCACGAATTCTTGTCCTTGATTGGGTACAAAAAAATATTTTTGTGCCCAATCAGAGACCGGGATCTAAATGTATCTCGCTGCTTTCGTGGTCTTCTTATACGAAGGAGTTCACCTGCAGCACTTTCTTGGAGAAGAGCTTTCAGTTTTTCAAGGAAAATGAGCCCCAAAGTTTAATCTACCAGTTTCATTTGATCGTCTTGCAGCATTGAGGAGAAAAATTTAACAAATTTACACACTTTAAGGAGCGAGAAATATTTTCCTGTACGTGCCTGACAAGTATGCCGAGCAGGCACGTGAAGTCAACGACGTAGACGATTTCTCATGGACCTTGAGAGTGGGCGCTTATTCGAGGCGGACGCTTATTCGAGGCTGGACGCTTATTAAATTTTCACCATTTTCAGCAAGTGAAGTATGTTTATTTTGCAACGAAACAATAAATGCTAATAACAAATCACGAAGAAGTAACAAAGCAAGGTTTCTGTAAAATGCTCTGAAGAAAACCTCGTCCTCGGGGAAGTCTTTTATTAGAATTTATTCACTCAAGTAGGTGGGGTGGGGGAGAGCGCTTATTTGAGTTTGATTGGGAAGAGGAGGGGGTGGGCGCTTATTCGAGGCTGGGCGCTTATTAACTTTTTCTGCCTTTAGGATGGGCGCTTATTCGAGGTGGGCGATAATTCGAGGNTTTCTTGGAGAAGAGCTTTCAGTTTTTCAAGGAAAATGAGCCCCAAAGTTTAATCTACCAGTTTCATTTGATCGTCTTGCAGCATTGAGGAGAAAAATTTAACAAATTTACACACTTTAAGGAGCGAGAAATATTTTCCTGTACGTGCCTGACAAGTATGCCGAGCAGGCACGTGAAGTCAACGACGTAGACGATTTCTCATGGACCTTGAGAGTGGGCGCTTATTCGAGGCGGACGCTTATTCGAGGCTGGACGCTTATTAAATTTTCACCATTTTCAGCAAGTGAAGTATGTTTATTTTGCAACGAAACAATAAATGCTAATAACAAATCACGAAGAAGTAACAAAGCAAGGTTTCTGTAAAATGCTCTGAAGAAAACCTCGTCCTCGGGGAAGTCTTTTATTAGAATTTATTCACTCAAGTAGGTGGGGTGGGGGAGAGCGCTTATTTGAGTTTGATTGGGAAGAGGAGGGGGTGGGCGCTTATTCGAGGCTGGGCGCTTATTAACTTTTTCTGCCTTTAGGATGGGCGCTTATTCGAGGTGGGCGATAATTCGAGGTTGGGTGCTTATTCGAATAAATACGGTACTCTGGTGTTTACAAATTTACCTTCGATCAGTCCGCAGTCTGATTTCTCTAACTGATGCATATTTCGTTTCCTTTTTGTTTTGCTGACAAGCCAAATTATGGGGTAGGATTTCCGTATCATGAACCCCATATATTTATTTTACATGCACGTATGTAATCTATTCATATTAACTACCGGTGTAAAATAATATGAAATTGTAATCTATACCCAGCCGGAACGCTAGCTCAACAAAGGCCTGGGGACTTAAGAGAAGGCGGTTGGACTAGGCCAAGATAAAATTAGGGGGAGGGGGGAACAGATGACCCTCCCAGGGGACACCCCCCTCCCCCAGAAGTGGACACCGCAGGAATCCTCTCATCTGGCACTTGCAGCTATCGTGAACAAATTCCCTTCACTCCTGAGGGAGATGACCAACACACGCCTGAAAATACAACTCTAGCAAGTAATTGGACAGAAATGAAGGCCCGTGTTGCACGAGCGTCCACTGGGAATAGCTGCGTTTATCATAAATGTGCAAGTTTATGAGAAACATTTACCAGTTATAGAACGTTTTCACTCATGTGGCCAGATCTATGCAAATTTTTGGAGCAAAAGAAATCGTTTTCATAAGAAAACAATTCAACTCCGGGTACACAACGCGTAGCAAACAACGTTCTTTTGCACGGTTCTTTTCTGAAGTGACTCGATCATCCGGGAACTCTAACACGTACGTAAGTAGTGACCTCACTTGTGTAATAAAAATACAAGGCGTGTCAACGCGAGTCACACAAAAGAGTTTGCAACATCATCGTCCTTTTTCGACGTAGCTTTCTAAAGGAATACCAAGATCTGTACTATGAATTGCCCCGATCTTATGATTTTAGCATGTTTGTTGGTCGGGCCTCTTCCGAGTGGTGAGTGGTTAAATAATTTAAATGTATTGGACCCGGGTCAAACACCGTATTTAAGTTCGGTTGATTGTATTTTAACGCCTCGGCCGATCCAAACACAAACAGGTGACCTTAACCGGGTCAAACGCCGAACTTAACAAGACAGAAACTCAATTTATTTGAATTACAGCGTTTGAACCGGACCATAATTTGAAGCTCAGCTCGTAGACAAATTCTTTGACTTACAAGATTAAAGCCGCTCCATTATGTTATTTACGAGACAGATGTATTATTGTGCGCTAAAAAACTTAATTTTGCAATCGTAGAGCAATTCTCAACAGTTTTTTTATCCATTTCTTTTATCCCTTTTTATCTACCAAAGAAATAACAAAATAAGCGCTATATTTGCATGTTTACGGATCACTGACAGTTTGGTTTGGCGGCAGTGACATGTCAGGAATTGTCTCATAGAGAAGCAAATCTCAATGATAGAGCGTAATTTTTTGCGCCAAATACTCGCATGTTGACTATGGGGAATACCAATTGTGTCTTTCTTTTCGTACTTTTGAGTTAATCATGGTGTTTGCGAGACTCGACTTTGCCCTCTATTAAAAATTCAAAACGTTTTCATTGTTGTTTATTTTTTGAATACCATATGCGCCTTTATGCTCGCTTACAGTTTCATCTTGCAGGCTCAGAGCATTTTTATTGAAACTCTAAAT